AACCAAGGGAGTTATAGCTATATAAAGTTTCAGCCAATCAGATTGCAGCACACGTGCATGCGCATGCTTTCTTGAAAATTCTTATATATCAGGCTGTAGATCTTTATAATGTAGGACTATGTTCAAAGTTTCAAAGGATTATGTCAAGAAACAAGAAAGATATTGAGACTTTAGTTTCAGCCAATCAGAGCGAAGCGCACGTGCAAGCGCGTGAGATCTTGCTATTTTGACCATGTCATCATGTCTATACTACTAATATATCCTCTTATTATGAGTTTCAAAGCAATTCATCAAAAAATAAAAACGTTGCCGCTATATCGATTATATTGGTCATTTTACGTGTTGCACGTGCACGCTCTTGCAAGCACGTGCGGGCAAAATGACCTTCATTCCGCAAATCTTCATAACATGTCTACTTACCCTAAAAATATTTTACCTACATCGGATGAACAGTTTACAAGATCATTCCCGGACAAAAAAGTACCCAGGAAGAAGAAGAAGAAAAATAATAATAACTAGAGCAAAGCTCGTTGCAAAGCAACGAGTAGGTCTTCCGTCCTGTTCGACCGGAAGTACCTTTCATTTTTAACAAAAATGAGAATTAACGCCAAAAAATGGGTTGAATCATCTAAACCTATGTTAATTAATGCAAAAATAAGCCATTTTTTGCTACTTCCAGTTTGACCGGAAGTGACGACGACGGACGGAAAATTAATTTTTATGCTCCCAGAGACATATGTTACCCAAAAACTTTCCAAGCTCGGCAAAAATACGCGTTTTCCGACCACTTCCGGTTTTGCCGGAAGTGACGACGCCGGACGTATTTTGAAGACGCCAAAAGATTAAGCTTAACATTTTGGACAACTTTGCTTCTTTGATGTATTACAAATTCTCGATACTTTTTGAGATATAAAGAAAAATCTTTTGACCCCTCTAGGCCCTTAATTTAAGGGGCCAGCCCTTTTTACAAGATATCATTTGAAAGATCTTGGAATTCTACACTTCTTTTGTTCTATATGTTTTAACAAAATATTTCCAGGTATAAAGCTATCGTAGAAAAGATGTTAAAAATTTTGAAATTCGCGATAGGTCTATTTTCGGGCCATAGCGAGCGTCGGCGCTTCGTACTTCCGGTAGTTGTGATATACAAAAGGCACTTCTCCAAAGTTTGCTCTAGCATCCCTCAAAAATTCACACTTCTATCTTCAATGGTTTTTGAGAACATTGCCGGACAAAGTGACCCTCTAAAAATGACAAAATCGCAGAAATCTCCGAACCGGAAGTGACGTCATCAAAACAAAAAAATATATATCTAGATTTTTTGATGTTCTATCATTCCTGAAAGTTTCATGAAAATCGATCAAGGCGTTTTCGAGAACTCGCGTGCACAAAATATGTAAGAAAAAAAATAATAAAAACTGTGGAAAAGAAACCTAAGAATAACAGAAAGGTCTTCCGCTGAAGACGGAAGACCTTAATAAGAAACAGAGTAAAAACAATATGTTCCCCAACTTCGTTTGGGGAACATAATGATTTAGGATAGAATTGTTCCAGAAATAGCTGTGTGTTGAAGTTTGCATGTCTAAGTAAATGAAACACCTTAAATTCCAAACTTTATCCTTAATTTCAAACGGGTTGTTTAAACTTTCTAATCAATTACGCGTTTGTTGATTATGAATGAAGGAGTCTGTATCGTGAAGTTACATAAGAATGTCGTTTACATTCATTAAGAAGTGACCTAAAATAAACTGTTTTCCCAAGCAAACTACGCAATAATCTTCTTAAACACTTTAAACTTTGAAAAAAATATTTTGTTTCAAAAAATGAAACTAAAGACCCTGAAAATTCACATTTGTTTGTTTCACAAATTCACCTGTACATTTAAAAAAAACTGTAGATTATGCACCATGTAGACCTTATGATAAAACGTTGTAAAACAACAAACACAAAACACATGAGCGCAAACTTTCTTCAAACAAGATCTTTTTAATTCCTGAAATAAAAAAGACAAATGATTAAAAAGCAACAGTGGTAAATTATTATTTTTTTCTTATGCGTTTATTTTATAAATGTTTATCAGTAACTCAATAACAGTTAGACATAAAAAGTGTACAGCAAATTAATGATGAAGAATTAGTCTTTACAATAAATGATCAATTGTTTTTAGAAACCCTACTCATGGAAATGAGAGGAAAATGTATTTCCTATTCCTCATACAAAAAGAAACTAACAAAGCAATAATAAGAAAAACTTGTAGAAGAAATAAAATATCTTGAATATAAAGGGGATTCGGTTTATGAATACTGAAAAAAAAGTTAAGTATGTTGGCAGATGATACTTCTTAATATTAGATGGAAGTGAAAGATCACTCCAAACAAGTCTCACCACTCTTAAAAGATTTGCGAATATGTCAGGCTTGCATATAAATTACAGAAAAACTCAAGTAGTCTGGATTGGGTCCCAAAAAGGCAGCATCGATACCCTAAGTACAGATCATATGTTAGAGTGGAGAAAATAACTTTTAAATTATTAGGCATTGATTTTGACACAGATTTAAAAAATATATTTATGCTTAATTGTGCATCAAAAATAAGTAATATAAAAAAATTAATGCAACACTGGAACAGGAGAAATTTAACTCCTCTTGGTCGTCTGATGGTTCTAAAAACTCTTTTATTGCCAACTTTAAATCATGTTTTTGCATCTCTCCCAAGTCCCTCTGAAATTCAAATGAAAGAATTAGAAAATCTTTTTTATACTTTTGTAATGGGAAGTAATATTTCAAGACTAAAATGAAAAAAAAAATGTGTAATGAATTACAAAGAAGAGGGCTTTAAGATGATTAGTATAAGAGAGTTCATTATGTCCTTAAAACTAGTTTGGATGAAAAAATTATTACTGCGGGACAATGGGTTAGACTCCTTTTTAGATATTGACATTAAAAAAATTGTATGTTATGGGCGAGAGTATGTTGTCAAAAAGATCAATAATTTAAAAAATAATTTTTGGAAGGACGTGTTACATGCATGGCAAAGCTTTTGGGACAAATCATTACAAAATGATACACTTACTTCTTTAGAACCATTATTCCATAATAAAAAATTTAACATTAACAAAAAGCCATTCTTCTATAAAAAATGGTTCTCTTGTAACATTTTATGTATAAATGACATACTCAATGAAGATGGGACATATATGAGTTTGAATGATCTATATATGAAATACGGGATAAAAACACATTTTCTTGAATATAGTGGCATTAAGGCATCTACATTAGAATGGCTAAGAAAGATAAACAGAGATCAAAATAACTTATCATAGATAGCTTACCCATATATCCCAGATAATGTTTATTCGCTCCTGAACGCAAAGAAATCACATGATTTATATGAAATACTTATTCAACAAAAAATTGAACCATTGGGTAAAATCTCTTGGAATAGAATATTTGACATGAGCAATGGTGAATGGGAGATAATTTATTTACTTCCATTCAAAATTACAAAAAACACCAAACTTCAGTGGTTTCAATTTAGAATAAACCATAAAATACTTGCGACAAATTCCCTCCTACACAAAATTAATCAAACTGATGATAAAAAATGTACCTTCTGTAAAAAGAAACTGAAACAATAGAATATTTGTTGTGGGAATGTGAACATGTTCAGTCTCTATTAGAGAATTTTGCAAACTACTGTTTTAATAAAATCCGCACTTCTATAACCTTTTCAAAAAAAGAATTTTTATAGGGCTCTGTGAAGAAAACTGATCAACTTAAAAATATTATTGCCTTACAAATATAACATTATATCTATCTGTACAAATGTACAAACAGAAACATCTCCTTAGGTGGTTTGATATCCTCTATTAAGACAATATACGAATTACAAAAATATATATCTTATAAAAATAATGAAAAAGAATCTTTTGATGAAAGCTGGAGACCATTAACTGATATATTTTCTTAATCATCTCTCTCTCTCTCTCCTCTCTCTCTCTCTCTCTCTCTCTCTCTCTCTCTCTCTCTCTCTCTCTCTCTCAATGTTTGTCTTTTTGTAAAAAAAAGGTTTTCAAAAATAGAATATAAAAAGTGTACAAGACTAGCTTGAAAAGAAAATATTGTTTAGTTACCCTTTCCAAGCGACTTTTTAAAAAATAGTCCACTCAATTTTTAAACCTTCAGAGAGCAATTATTTTTTTTATTAATTCCGGATCACAGATTTTAACTCGATTTTGAAATTTGAATTTAAATTGAAGTTTAAACTCTCTAGGAAAGTAAAATTCTCACATACCTACCAACGAATATTTTTACTCTGAGTCGAAAAAGAGCAAGAAAAATGTATTACATAGCTGATCTTGTTTATAGATATTTTAATATTGTGATAGCATATATTTCAGTGCACTCATATCTATGTCATTGGGTTGACGATAAGGAAGTTCTAGTAAATTATGTCTTATAGATAAAAATATAATGTCTCCAATATAATTCACAACTACTAATCAGCCATGTTTAAGGGTTGTAAATTACCGTCCGTGTTACTATGCAGTTTGATTGTGCAGTTATGTCGTGGGTTGGAAAGACAGGAACGACTACTCCTGAATGATCCGCAGGTTCTTCAATCCCAAATCCAACATCTTCTACAAGAAGTGAACATCTTAAAAACCACTACAGACCAGGAAATAAACGCCCTTAAATCTCAGCTGGCCAGCCAGAATAATGAAATATCGTCCTTGAGGGGTCAGATCTTCGCTCTTACTCAGCAATCTAACGACCGTGGTAATTTGTTTTTAAAAATCAAATGACAATTTTCGAGGCATTGCATAAAATAGAATTTTTTTTTTTTTAAATCATGATAAGATTTTTCAATAACAAGAAACTTCAAGAAGCATGTCTCAAACATATTATATCAAACAGGCTCTCAATGCATTAAATACATTTGTTTCAAAATTCAGTATCAATTCAATTATCATGCATGATTTTTCAAAAACTTTTAGGTGCTACCTTTACCGTTTGGGGAAAGAATAACTGTCCGAATGTGAATGGCACCGAAATGATTTACAAAGGTAATTTTTATTTATCCCGTTAGGAATATTGCTGTCTAAGCATTCAATTATTCAATTTTGTTATGAAAGATACGGCGTGCAAAAAATAATATATTACGGGTATTAGGGTAAAGTAGTATATATTTGCACAAGGCTAAAATAAAATTATAGTTTGTTTGGAATTGCCTCCCGCCTCGTTAAAATTGCCCCCTCCTGAAAAAAATTTTATTGATCAAGATTTTTTTTATTTAATCAATTTTTTTGCCCATTACATGTATGACATGCACCCCCCCCCCAAAAAAAAAAACACTGAAATATAGTGTCAGATCTAGGTAAAATTAGAATTTTTTGTTGATGGTAGTGATACTTTTTTTAAAAGTCAGAAAATGTATTTACTATTTACAGAAACTTTTATCAAAAATTAATTTTTTTTCTTTAATTAAAAAAAAAATAATTTCCCTCCCTCCATCCTGTGTCTGAAACCTTTCAGGCGGCAATTCCAAACAAACATTTTTTTAAGGATGGCCCAAGAGGAAGTAGAATAGTACATTCCTCTTGAATGACTACAAAATCAAACAAAAATATAAATGTTTATCAAAATATTTAAAGTTTATTTGGAAAGATGCATGAGGTGAGCGTGACTGCTAAGCATATAACATATTTCAAGTATCAAATATTTAACTAGACCGGGTGAAACTCTTTTTAAAAAATTAACCCAAAAAAAAGCATTCTGCACAAATTTAGTAGATGAGACAAAACTATCATTATTTCATTCAACAAATGAACAAGAGCAGATAAAAAACATTGTATGAAGATTGCAAGTATTCAGAATGTCAATTAAAGCAAAACAAATTTAGTGTCGACTAAAAACAGCTACTAAATGTACAGGTGGGATCAGAGGCCGTGTGGGAATAAGGATATGGAGATAACGAACAGTATTCGATCTCAAAGTCCATAAAACAATACAAAAAAGAGCAGAGTAAACACGGACCTCCGAATCATCAGAGGTGGGATCAGGTGCCATGGAGGAGTGAGCACCCCCTGCTGACCGGTCACACCCGCCGTCTGTTCCTTGTCATGATCGTGAAATAACGGAAAAAAACTTTCGTCAATTCAGTGTATAAAAATGGACTAACAATTGGTTTGAAAAACGTCAGTCAGCAATTGACTCAATGATAAATTGTATTTGCTGAAAAGGTCATTGTATCGAACATAGATCTTACGAAATTATGACTTTAAACGAGACTGTTGATATTCTTGTTTCACCAACTTGCTTGTCAATAATTTACATCGATTTAGAAAGCTTTGTGAATCAATTAATTGAGAGATATAGAAAATCCTGAAGTTGACAGCAAGAAGATGCTTGAGTTTCTGATTGACAATATCTAGGTGGTTTTTGGAGACCAGGTCTTCCAACAATCTATTGGAATTCCAATGGGAACCATTTGCGCTCCGTTATTAGCAGACCTATTTTTGTATTCATATGAAGTAGATTTTATGCAAAATCTTATGCGTTAAAAGAAGAAAACACTTGCTGTGGCCTTCAACTGAACTTGAAGATATATCGACGAAGATATATCGACGACGTATTGTCAATCAACAATGGTAATTTCCATTCCTACGTCGATACGATATATCCAGGAGAGCCTGAGATAAAAGATTCCACAGAGTCTGACACATCTTTTTTATACTTAGATATTTTACTTTAAAAAGACGTTAATGGTAATCTAGCAACCAATTTATATGATAAACGTGATGACTTTAACTTTTCTATCGTCTACCTCCTTTACTTGTGCAGCAATATACCTTCATCACTAGCATACGTAGTATATATATATATCTCAGTTGATAATTAGGAGTATGCTCTTCGTATGAACAATCTCTAAAACGAGGTAAATTATTGACAAGAAAGTTGATGAAACAAGAATATCAGCAGTTTCGTTTAAAGTCATCATTTCGTAAGTTCTATGATCGATACAATGACCTTGTCAGCAAATACAATTAATCACTGAGTGAAATATTGACTGACGTTTTTCATATCAATTATTAGATCATTTTTTATACGCTTAAATGACGCCGAATTTTTCCGTTATTTCACGATCATGACAAGGAATACACGTCGGGGTGTCTGGTCAGTAGGGGATGCTCACTCCTCCATGGTCCCTGATCCCACCTCTGGTTTTTCGGAGGTCCGTGTTTGCTCTGCTCCTATTTTGTATTATTTATGGACTTTGATATTGAATACTGTTCGTTATCTACATATCCTTTTTACAATTGAAACTATTTTCAAGAAAAGTCTGCAGTTTATTTTTTTTTTAATTCAGGATTTACCGGTGGAAAAAGTTTCTCAGAAAAAGGAGGTGGTGCAAACACCCTTTGTCTTCCTCACGATCCAGAAAGACTACCATATGGTATTTCGGTCATTAGCGGTGATGACTACGGGCACCTGTATGGAGCAGAATACCAATTTTCCATCCACCGCGTCCACATACAGGAAGATGTTCCGTGTGCCGTTTGTCGTGCCAAAATGGCGTCTTCCACCATCATGATCTCCGGAAAACATTCATGCCCGGTGACCTGGCGAAAACAGTATTCTGGTTTCCTGACATCCAGTTGGCATGACTATGAAAGTACAGAATACCTTTGTCTGGACGATGATCCGGATTTCATCGAAGGATCTAGACGTGACGATAACGGAAGGTTGTTTTATCCTGTGAAAACCGTGTGTGGTTCTCTCCCTTGTCCTCCATATGAGAACAATGTTCTTGTTGGCTGTGTTGTTTGCGCAAAATAGATTTTAATATATTTTTTATTCGTTTTAGTCTATTTTATTGAATCTCGTAGCATATAATTATTTTCAAGTCACTTTTTACAAAAATGCTGGTAGGACTCTTTTTATACAGTAGATATATTTACTTTTACAAATTATCAAAACATTCCCTACATTTATGTCTTTAATATATACGTATAAATGGTTAGTATAATTTACAAGGTTGCATCCCGCAGTAAAGCAACAAGTTTAAAATCTTATATCACAATTTCTGTATATTATCAAAACTGAAAAAACGTACAGGTAACTTTTCAAGACAAAGTGCCAATTAAATGTCTTCTTATGCATTTGAGTAGATTTAGATGTTATGTAATTATACTCAATTTATATGATTAAGTCCAAACAAAGTTATTGGTCTTATCATAAATTTGGTTTTTTAGTTGTGCAAGAATTTTTTTTTAAAAAAGTTCTTTAACACTGTTGTTGCAAAAATAGATGAAAACTGTTGAAAAGATCACATTTCCAGGCAAACTGAATCGGATAGCACATAAAGCTGAAAGAAGAGGTTTCTAACGTAAAATTCACTGACATTGAGATTCCTTTCCTGCGTATTTCAAAAGCTGGTACAAAATGCTTTTTGTTGTGAAACGGACAAAATATTAAACATGATTTGAAAATGACAGCATTCAGCAGTTTTGCTATTTGATTGATAGCGGCAGGTTCAGATATTTAGATCAGTTGTATACAATGCTAAATTATGATATTTTTTAAAAAACTCATTCAAAAACTTTATGATATAGTTTCAACTGTTTTCAGAAAAGTAAACATTTCTAATTCTTAAAATGCATTGAATTGTAAAAGATGTAGCTACACTTAGAAAAGAATAATTCTGACCTCTTAGAAATTACATTTCTATCTTAGAAGGGAAAACATTGCTACCCTGAAACTCATGTAAATACTTCTTCAGCCGCTCATGAGGCAATACAAAATAGTTTGCTTTGTTTATAAAATAATATTACACGGAGCACATTCTTGAGGTTCAAACTAGGCCTATATGATCCAGGTGAAAACAGAACATTACTACATTGTACGTTTTGCTTATCCATGTTATCATAGGATTTAGAAATTAGTTGACCTTAATTATATAGTCTGTAGTCAGTAAACATCCAAATATAAAAGAGAGGAAGCAGACTCGTAATAAATGTCAGATCATTTAACTTTGTAATTAATTAACAAATGAAAAAAACATATGTCTTGCGAGATGCAAACATATTTAGGGGGGTCTAGGATTCACAGAAAATATCTTTTTTCCCTCAAACCTTGAAAAGTTTACCCCATGAAAATATTTGATTTTACCGTACTTCGGCAAGGTTCTATCAGAAACATTTTTTCTGATCAAATTAATTTACAATGTATTTTTTTATTTATTAAAAATTATATACACAAGTCATGTCTTTTTACGAGAATGGTTTACACTTTACATAAAGTAAAAGTAAGGTGATTGGTGAATTATGTTACTTTCTGAATGAATTCGCGACCTCTGCCATGCCAGTCTAGTACTCTACCGATTGAACTAAAGGGTATATCCAAGAGCCAAAGCTAACAGAAAACCTTAAATCAAGCATACAAGTAACCACATTGTCACCCTCAAGAGAATGAGATGTCTTTATCACAAATTTCAAGATCATAAATGTCCTATTAATGGATAAATTTAAGGATTTCTGTTTGAGTAAAGATAAGATGCATACTTCCCTTACATGTGTATCTCCAGTTGAATCAACTGTAATGTTTTTAGTCCACAATATTCCTCTTGGGTGATCCACAAGTTCTACAGTCCCAGATCGAACATCTGAAACAGGAGATGAACTCACTCAAATCTCAGCTGGGAAGTCAAAATCAGGAATTGTTATCTTTGAGGTACCAGGTTTCTGTTTTAACAAAACAGACAGGGCACACAGAGTAAGTATTGTTGAAAAAAGGTTTATGTAAATATATCAATATCTGATTTATCTGTCAACAAATACAATTTACCATTACGTCGGGTGCTGACTGACGTTTTTGTACTAAATAATGGTCCATTATTCATTCACTGAATTGATGACGATTTTTTGTTGTTTGCCGGTCATGACGGAGAGCACACGGCGGTTGTGACCGTTTGGCAGGGAATGCTCACTCCTCCATGGCACCTGATCCCACCGCTGATGTTTTGGAGGTCCGTGTTTCTCTGCTTCTATTTGTTTTAAGGAATTTTGATCTGGAATACTGTTCGCTATCTCCATATGTTGCATTAAATATATTCTATCGATACTTAAACGTGACCAACTCCAATATTTTTGTTTTGAATCACAGTATGCTGTGTTAAAACATTGGCATGCGCTGTAATTACTGTATGTCTACTTTAAAAAGTGGGTTTCATATTTTGGTGGCTTTGGCGCAGACAGCAATGCGCTAATCCGTGAATACCGTTAAGAAATTATTTACATTTACAAAACACTGAACGGACAAGTGTAGCGCTAATTTAGAATTACGTCAACAACTCCTTATCCAGTGAGTACGCAAAATTTTGAATGCCCCAAATTATGTACACGTCCACCCTATTATTTTTTTAAACAAAATAGATCTTTTTTAATTAAAAAAAACTAGATAAGTATAATACTTTTTTTCTCCTTTGAACGATACATTTATATCAGCTATCGGTGTAAAACCAACGCCTTCAAATACATACAATCTGGCTTTGAAGTATTTGTTGTAAGATAGAGCATGTTGCGTTTTTTTTAAATAATAAAGAGCATTTTATTTTCTGTTGGTTACCGGTGTTAATATCCCATTGTGGAAATCAAAACCACGTCGGACGGATCAACTCCTTCGCCACTCTAGTGTAGAGCAGACGCTCTAACCACTGCACCACGCGGGCGAAAGGATTGCATCGGAATAAAGAGTACATCATTGAAAAAATATTTAATTGAACTTATTTAAATGTTTTCTTGTTGTTCAAGCATTCACAATGAAATTAAAGTGATGATAGCCGTTGAAGTAGCAGACACATTACATAGAGTATCATTTGATTACTAGAAACAGAAAATAATCAGCTATTTTATATTTTGTTAATTCATAAAACCAGATGGTACTCGGGATGATTTCATTTAGAAATTTTACAAATTTTACATTACTTATTTACTTAGGTTCCACCTTTAAAAATTTGGGGAAAGAAAACTTGTCCAAAAGTTCGGAATGATTTCATTTAGAAATTTTACAAATTTTACATTACTTTCATTACTTATATAATGTGGTTACTTAGGTTCCACCTTTAAATTTGGGGAAAGAAAACGTGTCCAAAAGTAAATGGAACGGAAGTTGTTTATGAAGGTAATCATTTCGATTTGCACTTTCCAAATCGAAACAATGCTACATAAAAAAGTTAATAGTAAGCATTATTAAACACTAATTAAATTCAATTAAGTAGATCATTAAAGAAAAATTATTCATTTAATTTAAATCAACTCGTAATTTCAAACTAAGATAAAACTCGTTAAAAAGAATATTTATAGAACTCTACTACGATTGCAATTTAAATGTATATAGAGTTGCTTGTGTAATAAGTTGGCTTTTATTCTCATTCAGAGATAACTGGAGGGAAACAATACTTAGATGCAGGTGACGGTGTGAATACTTTGTGCCTACCACACGATTCAGGAAACCTGCCCCATGGTTCATCAGTTTCCGTCGCAGGCGGCGATGACTTTGGCTACCTCAATGGCGCCGAGTACCAAATAAACATGCTACGAGTGCGCATATCAGAAGATGTGCCGTGTGCAGAGTCAAGATGGCGTCTTGTTCCATAATGATCCCCGGAAAACGCTCATGCCCACAGTTTTGGCAGAAACAAAACTCAGGCATACTTACATCAAATAGGCACATTTATCAGAGCACAGAGTACCTCTGTCTTGTCGATGATCCGGATTTCATCGAAGGATCTAGACGTGACGAAAACGGAAGGTTGTTTTACGAAGGTTGATCCAAAAGTAATGTCACTGTGTCCATATCTTTAATATTTGGCGTCATATTATCAAATGCTATATACCAAAAGATGCACAATCATAAATACAATTGACATTGAAATTTTCATCAAAGAATGTTTAAATGAATTTATTTTATAAACGTTTAAAAGAAAGAACATAGTGGATGTCGCCGCGTCACACCCAAACGTCACGAATTAACGTGTACTTTTTAAGAATGAAAAAGACAAACACATTAACTAAGCATCTTTACAAAGCACCTAATCTCCCAAAATTTTAAAAAGACAAAATTTACAATATTTTCTAGTCTTAAGTTGAAAATTAAATGACATCATTGCTATTTTTATCATACACATTGTTGTTTTACTTTGATGTATTGATCAAAGGAAATGTCGAAATGGAAGAAAATTGCCACATTAGTGACAACAAACTGTAATGTATTTTTGCTTTAAAATCGGGAAATCGGTAGTAGAGACAGTTTGGTTGATCCACAAGTCTCGCAGAGGAAAGAATGTAAATAAGAGAGTTGTTTAGATGAATGGCTTTACCGATTTTGGATGGTTGATGGGTCATCGATTGCTCAGCAGATGACAAGAAAACCGAAAGATGGGAGGGTGGACGAAAACGTTCAATTGCGTGTGACGTAGTCAGAAAGACAGACGGTTAAAATGAAATGTAAAACTATAAGTTTGTCACAAATAACAAATTTTTACAAATTAATGATGGAAAAGTGAGCACAGAAATCTGTGAATGCGTTTGCGAATCTCAAATTTTTATTTGAAACGATTGAAAGTGTATGACCGGATTTCATCGAAGGTTATATATAATCCGATATCTTAAAAAGTATAAATCATGTTGAATTGAAATTTTCAACGATTTGAAATAAATGGCTTGTTGTTTTATCCTGTGAAAACTGTGTGTGGTTCTCTCCCTTGTCCCTTCTCACCATGAGAATGGTGCTTTTGTGTCATGCGTTGTGTGTTCTAGTTAGATAAATCAGAGATATTGTTTCTATTGTCTTCATTGATTTCATGATTTTTGGTGCAAATAATTCATCCACAGGTTGGTGGCATGAAATATTTTAGCAGAAAACATTAAGCAACCACAAAAACATCAGAGATAGGATCACGTGACTGGGAAGAGAATCTCCTTTTCACCTGCCTTTGGCACTTTGCGAAACATGTGGAGATAGCGAACTGTATTCAAGATCAAAAGTCCAGAAAACAACACAAAATAGGAGCAGTGCAAACACTGACCTCCAAATTATCAGTGTTGGAATCAGGTGCCATGTAGGAGTGAGCATTCCGTGCAGACGCTCACACCCGCCGTGTGTTCCTTATCATGATAGGGAAATAACGGGAAAATCCGCCGTCAATTCAGTGTATAAATAATGGAGTAATAATAAGTATGATAAATGTCAGTCAGCATTTGACACAATAATAAATTGTATTTGCTGACAACGTCATTGTATCGTCCATTGAACTTACGAAATGATAACTTTGAACGAGACTGCTGATATTCTTGTTTCATCAACTTGTTTGTCAAATAATTTACCTCGTGCAAGAATTCGTTTGTACGTAGAACATGCTCTTGCGTATCGAATCAACTAAGAGGTATAAACTCCTTATGCATGTGATGAAAGTATATTGCTGCATAAGTAAGAGAAGTTGACGATTGAAAAGTTAATGTCATCATGTTTATCATAGAGCTTGGTTGTTAGATTACTATTAACGTCTTTTTCAAGTAAAATATCCAAGATGTATAGAAGACGCAAGTGAATAACAAGAAAACCATGGGCGACATCACTCGCCTTAGCACACTGGCTTGCAAGAAGCACAGATCTGTTCAGTATTAAAAATTTTTAATTGGGTAGACTCGAATTTTAATAAAACTGATAATAATAAAAATAATATTGATAATAACTCAAAATAACAAATGGCTTTGAAGTTCTTGAGCAAAGGAATTTCAAAGGTTTTATCCTATATTTCCTTTGTAAAAATTTGATACATCTTTTATGGTCCCTCCCTATCCCTGGGGGTCATCATCTGAACAACCCTGAATGTACACTACCTGATGATGCTTCCATACTAACAAGACTAAACATGAGCTTCTTTTGTTGGGAAGATTTTTTCCATATATTCCTATATGTATAAACTCTGATCCCCCAATTTTGTGTCCAGCATAGCTCCAGCGGTTATCATTTAAACAAATTTGAATCTACATAACCTGAGGATGCTTCCATATCGATATAACCAAACATCGCTTTTCTGTTCTTGAGAGGGTATATGTATTATTATATAACACTTTTATCCTCCTTTGTCTGCCCAACATACCCTTCGGGGTCAGGATTTGAACAAACTTAAATCTGAGCTATTTTATGCTACCATAAAATGACTTAACGAAGCTTTGTTGTTCTTAGGATGAAAATTTTTCAAGACATATATATATATATATTCCAATGTAAAATTTTGATCCACCATTTTAACCCCATCCTTTTCACGGGGTCATCATTTGAACAAACTTGAATCGACACTACGTTATGATGATTTCATATAGTTTCTTTGGCCCAGTGGTGCTTGAGAAGATTTTGAAACATTTCACTAAAGGTTCCCTATTTCTGAATTATCTCCCCTTGAAAGAAGGTATTACTTGAATCTCCGTCATCAAGAATGCTTTCAAGCAAGTCTGGTTAAAATTTATCCAGCGGTTCTGGAGAAGAAGTCAAAATTTTGAAAAGTTTACAAAGTGACGGACGAAAAGACAGATAGACGGACAGACGAACTTCAGGCAAAGTGTGATCAGAAAAGTTCACTTCTGATTTCAACTCGGGTGCGCTAAAAATAATATATGAAAATGAATATTGGCATAACATGTGATTAAAAATTCATTTAAAAAACTTAACCACAGGAGCCAGTAACATACGTGTACTATATTTGATTTACGTTATCACTTTCGTTTAAGTTGTGTTTTGTAAATCCGATATCCATTCACACAAGGTGATATAGTTGAAGTCTTCAACTAAATTCAATGCACATTGAATCCAAACTTAACGTGGGATGTGATTGGTCAACCTTTCTAGAACAGGTTGGACCAACCACTTTCCACCTCTTATAATATTTATCCAATTCAGTTAAGTGGATTGAACAGCGGACATAAATGCTTGTGATAGGTCTGGTGTTTGGAGAGAAAAAACTCTTCTGCATAATAAACTTATTAAAACATTTTTAGGTGATCGCATTTCTGTCACCCTAATGATTTTATGATAAAAAAAAAAATTTAAGTCGAAAAAAACGGTTTTAAATTTCTGCAAAAATTCTACGAAATAATAATAAACAATACATGTACATGTACATTTATGATGTAAACAATTAAGATTTGTCTCGTTTTACAAACTTTATTCATTGTTAACAACATTTAATGAGTTTGAAACAAGAATTAAATGTCGATAATTCTGTAAAACAAATCGTTTTTAATAGTGGGAAAATAAAAGAGAGATAAGTCAATAACGAATAATTAAAACAAATATATACAAACATGTATAAAATAAGATGATCATTTGAAAAAAAGATGAATTGTTATAAATAAATATTAAATTTGTAGCATATTTCATGCTTCTGGATTTCGATTTGTTGTATTTGTTTTTGGATTCATGCATTTTAATTGTCTTGGATGAAAAATTTGTGAATTTGAACACAGTCCATGGAAAAGAACTCTTTCACCGGTACACAGTAAAAAATGTGGTGTCCACTCCCGCCCCCTCCAGGGGTTCAGGCCGTCAGGTAAATCTACACAGCTAGGGTAACGAGAGCGACAGGGGACACACATATCACCATTACAAGTATACACGTCGTAGTCACCTAAAAAATAAAAGAAAATAGGATAATGTATGAATCAAAGTACAATTTACAAAGACTAACGAATAAAAGAATTTGATCTATATTGCAGCAGGTTTTCCAGCTAAGTTAGTTTGTATTTAGGTATGTCACTCGTCAACTTTTTAGAAAAGTTCAAGCAGAAACTCTTACTTCAAAATTAATAGAATTCAATTTTAATAGCATATTTCAATTCAACAATGTAAATTGTTTAACATTCAATGAAAAAAAGACTGTTCAAAAACCACAAAGATGCAAGATTTCTGAGGGACTTTTTCTTGTGGTGAAAGGATATTTAGAAGAAAATTCTACAATCTGCACATTTATCAAATTTAATATCTTGGAACTTTAGCCTCACATAATTATGTTTACTCAGAGAATATTTTCCGTTATGATATTGCTGGGAATATTTGATATAGGTCTTAATTCATATTTTAAGAACAAGTTTTACACCTTCCTCAACAAACTGTGCCAAAAAATGATGATATGTTAAAGAAGTAAAAAAAAATTACACCATTTTTCGCCTGAAAATCATATATTTTGACCAATATTTCAAAATTAACATCACTGACCCAAACTTTTTCTTTCAGTTTTAAACTACTCGATACTTGTGACTGATCAGCATTAAATTCGTAAAAAGTTTTATATAAGAAAATGCCTTATGGCCTAATTAGATTTTTATTTAAAACCCCAAATTTATACTTTTTAGTGCAAATATGTCACACAATAATTTTGGCGCATTAATTAGCAAAATTTGTTTGATAATAAATATTATTCAAAATATTTTACATAAAATAATAATATCTTTATAGCCATGGTTACATCTGATAAAATATGATAAAGTTAAAGCACCCGGTATTTAACCAGATTTAAATTTTAAGTGCAAAAAGGTCAACTTAATTGTATTATTGGTCAGTAAGATGCACACTGACCCCTATTTTTCTGTGATTTCGAGTAACACTACATATGAGTACTTATCCAAAATATATTCTCAAAAAAATCTTTGAAATAACAAATTAATGTAATGTAATTTTATCGTACAGCACAGCATTAAAAGCAACAGTTGAAAAGGTGATAAACTCGTGATACAATTTAATTCATATTTAATTTCATATATCTAATTAATATTTAACATACATGGATTTTTTGGCTCATGTCTATCCCCGCAGTCAACTTCTTTAAAATATCGACACTTCTTCGTGACGGAATCAAAAAGATGTGGATATGGACATTCACGAATTCTGGGATTTCCACGTAACTTGGAAGAACAGTCCAAATATTTTGCACAGCTCGTCATATGAGGAAGAAATCCAACATTATGTGCTGCGCAGTCGTTTGTATCTACTTTCCGAGAACCTGCCAAAACAAGATTAAGACTACTTTGAAATCTAGTGCTTAAACCATTAATAAAACAGAATTTGAAGTAAAGCTTGGATTTTTTTTAATGATTTTTAAACAGAAAACCATATTCAACAAAGTGTCAGCTCCTATTTTAGACTTAATGAGGCTGGGGAGTCAGTAAATGAAAAACAAATTAACCACCAGATTAAACTTATTTTATATATACGGTATCTTAAGCTGTCAACTATCATGTGGCAAAGAAAAATTTCAAACATTTAAGTTTTAAAATTTGATTATTTTCTATATCTTCATATGGAACTCCTCTTCTAAAGCAGATCAATATAGTCTAAAAATGGCCACAATCCCCAGCCTCTTTAATATAAATCACTAATTACAACATTTCTGTGCTAAGATTTGTATACATGGTTAATAAGTATAGAAAGGAAAAAAGACAAGCATCAAAATAAACGACATATTAATTTACTTACAGGAATCTAACTCTGATCCTCTTGGAACACAAGTCTCTGACTCAACATTAAAAACTTCATCATCATCACACTTCATCAAAAATATCCTTCTATTTAAACAAACATAGTACATTGAACAATCTTCACGATGAGAGAAAAAGGATTTCTTTAGTAATGATCTTCTGTTGCACATTGGATGTGAACAAACGATTTTGATAAATAACATTAAAAAATAAAATACAGCGCCAAGTCTCTCCATGTTTTTTCACTGTTAATACTGAAAACGGACGTAAATATTTAACATATTAAGAAAAAAAGGTTTTGATGATTATCTGTGAATTCTATTCAATGAACTCCTCCATCATTTTGAGATACCACTATTTGTCTGTTTGTATTTATTGTACCTGGACGTGCCTACACACATCATGCTTCAGAACTTCACACCTACAACTGGTAACCTATAAGTTTGTGGTTTAAGACTCATTATTTATTGCAGTGGTTAATTAGGAATTATCTCATTGTACAAGAAGGAAAATATAGTCATGAAAAAGTCAGCATTCTTAGAATAAACTGAATACCGTTTTATTTATTTATATAGATAATTTATGAATTGGCATGTGCAGACTGACCACATACAATGCTTTAAGTATCATACTTATCCATTTTCCTTCTAAATAATATATAGATTGTAATGCTTAACGTATTAATCAGACTTGTACGAAAACAGAAACAGTTTGTATTTTTGGTTACTATTTGAAGCCAGAAAAAATAAATTGTTGTTATTTTCAGTTTTTGCTAAATGTAAAATTATAAGTGCCTTCAGATTTTTGTTGCTGTTGTTGTCTATTATTCAAAAGTCATCAATTTTGATTTCAAATATCTCACTAAATGAGCTTTATTTAACAAATAGTTTTCTGTGTCAATATAAATGTGTTGTAGGAGGAATGATCGATGTCCTGTCGTCACAAGCCGACACCTTCTTAACCACAAAGCATGTCCAGGAAGTTAAAAATTTTCATGTCAAACGATTAATTACATGTACAAAATTAAAACAAATGTCCTTATTTTTCTATGTTCTATTTACGAGGTTCGAATACAGCTGTTTGTTTACGATTATTAATCAAAAAAGGCTTTTCAACGAAATTGCAACTGTGTAAAAATTCTGATGTATTTATTTTCAATGCCCATTCGCCATTAAATAGGTAAACAATTTTAGATGGTTTGTAATTTATAGTCACTTATGATGATAATTATGATGGTATTTCAGATGATAGTAATCACAGAGCATACACATTTATCGGTAATTCTAATTTCCTCCATTTTATTTTTTTATATATGGTTTGTTTATCTATTTTTTTACGGAACATGTAAGAAGTCATATAAAGATAAAAAATGATATTAACTTGGAAAATTATATTTATCTCATATATTTCCCAACTTTTATTTATAACAAATAATTTAAGGATATCCTATCCCCAGCCAGGAAGGATTACTCCAAAAACTAATATTTGATTAAAAAAGCATGAATATAAAGCTTGAAAATGAAAACATTCCATGCAACAAGTTTCATCTTATTCGTCTTAATATGATTCAAGGTTTATATGTCAAGAAAATGTCTTTTTAAAAAGTTGAATTTTACCCCACAAAAGGAAAAAAATATAGTTTTAGAGAAGAAAGATTTTCTTGAATCGAGCCTTAGATACCATGCAGTATAAATTGAAATTAGAAAAATGTCTTGGAATGATAGCAAAAGCATTTTACTTGAATAATACATGAAGAAGGATATGGAGATAACGTATTCTATCAAAGTTGATAAAAATTGGTCATTTTATGAGCAAGGAGAACTTACCGGTCAGACCCGCTGTGTGCTCCTTGTCATGATCGTGAAATAACGGAAAAATCTGCAATTCAGTGTATATTTTTGTTTAGTCAACTTTCTTGTCAATTGACCTCGTTTTAGAAATTGTTCATACGCAGAGCATGTTCATCAACTTGCGTATAATTTACCTCGAAAATTGTTCAACTGAGATATATATACTCCATATGGTGCAGATGATGAAGGTATATTGCTGCATAAGTAAGGGAAGCTGAGGATAGAAAAGTTAAAGTCGTAACGTTTATCATATAGCTTGGTTGTTAGGTTACCATTAACGTCTTTTTCAAGTAAAATATCCAAGTATGAAACAGATGTGTCAGACTCTGTGGTATCTTTTATCTCAAGCTCTCCTGGATATATCGTATCAACGTAGGAATAGAAATTACCATTGTTAATTGACAATACGTCGTCGATATACCTGAAAGTCCAGTTGAAGGCCACAGCAAGTGTTTTTTTCTTTTCACGTTTAAGATTTTGCATAATGTCTGCTTCATATGAATACAAAAATAGGTCTGCTATGAACAGAGCGCAATTGGTACCCATTGGAATTCCAACAGATTGGTGGAAGACCTGGTTTCCAAAACCACATAGATATTGTCTATCAGAAACTCAAGCATCCTCTTGATGTCAACTTCAGAGTACTTGTGTGTGCAATCAGAATCTGTTTTTACAAAATAATTTTACAAATGACCAATGACCAGGTAATTAAATTTACGAGTTCCATTTTTATTGAAGAAGCAGCTGTCAATGATATCAAAAACCTTGGGGAATGGTTGTGTATAAAGTTGAAAAGTCGTAAGTTTTTAAGCTGTTGATTTTGGTAAAAATCTTGTGATTTCAAATTGTCCAAAAGTTCTTTAGAATTTTTTAGTATCCACATCTGATTAACACCACTTCCTCGTATTGTTGCACAGTACTCTTGAAGGTTTTCCATCACTACTGTCAATATCTTAGTGAGGGGTAACGAAAGAGGCTTGGTTGAATATTTACTGGAACCTGCAATGCTTTTAAATTCTTATGAAGTTTCGGAATCCAATATATATAAGGTAGTTCAATTTCATTTTGGCTCTGTGGAATATTAAAAATATTCAGAACTGACATATGATTTTGAAGAATTTCTTCCTTAGAAAGGGAAGTATAAGTAGGATTACCAATTGTAGAATTAAATCCAAGTTCTTCTAGAATACAATTTAAATATAACGAGCCTTACAAACGAAGACAATGTTGTTACCTGCTTTGTCGGCAGGGACCAGTACGTACTTATCATGTAATCTATCTAATTCTCTTTTCACTTCTCGTTTATTGAACACAGAAGGAAAGATGGTTTTCATATTGCCCATCAATCTTTTAATACGCGAGTTTAACATGGATCTCATACATTTTATCCATTCTGAAAAGGTATCAATGTCTTCTTTTTCATATCTGACCCATCGTCTCGCGTAATTTTGAAGGATCGGGGTTCCCTATATTTAGGACCTTTGAAGGAAAAAGAAGATATAGAATACCAAATAAGTATACAAATCATGACAATTTCTCTAAATGCCTGGATACCAATTGTTTTTTAACCAAAAATATATTTGTTGATCAATTTGCAATTAGAACATGCATAACTGATATTCCTATTCGCTTTTTTTCTGAATATATATCGGAGATTTGACAATTTTCCCTATATGATATGATTAACTTTAATGTTGAACTTTAAAGAAATTCTGTGGGTAAATTTACATTACTAGTACTTTGTGGATTCAGAGATATTTTTATGAGTATTTTCGATTACATAACTGCTAATTCTATGAACCTGAGGATCGGACTACCTTACGTTACGATAGGAAATTTCTTTAAATCTTAGATCGTTTAAAATTGAAACTAAATTCATTGTTCAGTAGTAATTTTGAGAAGCAGATGAGAACCCTTCATCCGCCTCCATAATTAAAATAATATGAATAAAAAATATATAACCCCTGCTTGATTTCAAACTCACACAGTGGATTTTACCATTTCTGATTCAAATTGTCAAATAATGAAAAGGAAAGAAAAAATAATTTGAAATATATGCTAATATATAAGACTTATCATAAGCAAATGTATTTTGAATTTTCATCTATATAGAATCCCTCCTAAATCTAAAAAAAAAATGAAACAATTGAAAATAAAATATAATTTATAAAATATTCATGTAATTTCCTTTTATTTGTTTACAAAATATTTTCTTTATCTTTGCTCTAAAAATTACTGAAATAAATTAGACAACAAAAGACTTGACACAAGTACACCTATTTATCATTCCATCTTCAGTCAATTTATGGTTTTTATTTTTCTTCTTTTTGAAACTTCGATTTGTAATCACTTGACGTCAGAATTCTTCTGCTATTCATAAGTTTGCGCTCATGATTTGGATATTTTTTCATTAATATTTTGTTTGCTTAATTTGTTTCTCAGGATTCCATCTTCTTTCATTAGCCATCACAACCAACAAAGCTGACGTAAATCTTTTTAAACAGTATTTCAAATATGCTGATGTCATTATATACTTATTTTTTATAACATTCTCTGTTCTTTTCAGGATGTAAATCAATATTTTTTTATAATTGAAATGAATCACAAGTCATGTCCAAATATTAAGAAAATGTATATTAATGCACATTCTGCAAGATGTCTATAAATATTTGATTGATCAATTTTATAGAAATGAGTACAATATGATAATGATGAGTTTAGAATCTCCGAAGCTTTGAAGACAACAGTTAATCCTAAACACCTAAAAGCTTTAAAGGAGGGGTCAGATGTAAAGGAAGAGTAACCATTCCTTGTTGTACAAACTTTTGATACAGTGATAGTGAATAAATTTCTAAATATGTTAAAATTGATTCTAGGTTCTAATACTTCTTCAAAGAGGTTAATCTTGTACACTTAAAAAAAATTCTGGTTGAAAATCTGACTTTTTCATATAAGATTTAATTTACATTGATATAGATAAACATGAAAAATGTTACCATAATGGAAATCGATCATTTTGAAAAAAAAGTCTTTTAAATGCATAATCAAGAAAAAAATAACAGCCCCTTTTGAATCATTAGTAGCATATTTTACAAACATCTTATTTACATGCAATATCTTAAATAATACAATTTCAAATGTAAGATAATTATGATTATCATTCATTCATGTTAAATACTAAAACTCTTATCTTTTACCAAACATTTAGCAATTTTCAATGATGGCATAGCATAAGCATACCAATACATTTGGTAACGAATAATGTAATGATATTGTCTCATAAACAATAGATATAACGATCAGTAATCAAAATCAAATGTCCATTGCAACAATACAAATTCAAATACTTCTGTGCGTAATCAGAATGTTTAACAGCTTCATTTTGCAAATGACCGATGCAAATTTGTCAATTTATGTTTTACTGAACAGAGCAGCTGTCTTTGATTTCAAAAGCATGTAATTTATTTAATTCAGTGTGTAATTCTGTCCAATATCAGTTGTATTTTAATGAACTTGGTGTTTTTCAAAAACGTCTTTGTCTTTTAAGATTGATGTAAAACAAACAAACTCACAAAATTAAAGTGTTTGTGGAAATAGAAATAGGAAAATGCTTGAAGAATAAAAGTTTCTTATTATTCAAAGTTTCAAACAAGTGCTTAAGAGTATGATATATCCATCTCAATGTTTAATTATTCAGAAAAGCACAATCAGTGTATTCCTTTCAAACACGTTTGTGTACAGAACAACAATTTTTTTTTACCTATTTTGTTTATTAGTCAGACATTCTGTCAATTAATAATGAATGTTTTAGAAGGTCACAGAACTAAAAATTAAAACAACTGGGAGAAAAGTTGTCAATCTCCACCTGTGGACAATATTTGAATTTTTTGTCTGGATTTCAATTTTTAATTTTTCCCTAAATTCTTGCATTTTGGTTTAGTTAGGATTTCTTATATGTCCTGTTGCTCAAGAACGATAAGGATTTAAGAGGAAGATCCAAAAGCCAAGTCTGGACTCTCTCTCTCTTCAATCACTCAAACTGTGTATGTGTCTTTCGATTTCTAAATTATTAATGATTCTCTGTATAAATTATTTGTATTCATCATTATAACTTTCAATGCTGAATCAAATACTTATGTAAGATTTCCCCTAAAAATTTAATATGAAATTGCAAAACATTGACTAATATGGAGATAAAGTGGACTTTAGCGATGTGTAAATTTCCATTCAGGAGGAAAGAAATGCCTAACAGCATAAATATTCGCTACGTCAGTAAATTAATTAAAGTTCTGTCATCGCCGCTTGTAGAACACGCTTTTTCTCTCATAATGAATGTTAATTGCAAAGTTTTTGACATTTCAAGAAAGTTTGTAGTGCATCCTTTGTTTAACTTTCATTAGTGCATTTACCAAACATATATATAGACATGTATGGATAGAAATTTAAAAAAGTTCCATAGAAGTTGTTTCTCTCACTTTTATTGGATTCTAAAGGAATTTTCGATCTCAGCTCTTATATAATGACAAAGTTGGAGTCATTCTTACTTTGACATACCTGCAAACAACAAATATTGTTTACTGTGTTTTGAGAAGGCTTTGTGTCTAAAAGGAGTATTGCTTGTGTAACCATGCCGACAAATATCCTATTGTGTTTATGGTCAGTGTTTTTCATTTCCGTTTATTCCCGTAAACTTTGCCCAGAATATGCAGAAAAACCAATTAGGCGGAAAGATCCGGATGATTGTACTAAATATCACCTGTGTGTGGACAAGAGAGAGTTCATTATTACCTGCCCGGAACATTATGTTGTCAGTGAAAGGTCACTGAAGTGTGTCCAAGAGGGCTCGGTCTTCGACACTTGTAAGAATTTGGACTTTTTATTCACTTATTTTTAAAAGTCGTCGTTCAAACTGTAGCGATGAGTCAATTGATTGATTTATCATGTACAGTTTATCATGTATTTGATACATTGTATTTTCAAAATCTTTGATTACTTTGACTAATGAAATTAAAATTACAAGATACAATTTACCGGACAGTAATCAAGATCAAATGGTCATTGAAACAATTTATATTTTAAGCAGAGCACATATATAGTAGACTGCTGATATCCGTATATTATCAACTTTATACTTGTCAATAGCTTTCCTTGTTTTAAACAAATGTTTTGTACGTTAAAATGTTCTTCCCTTTGGTTCAAATGAGAGATATAAATGCTATATGCTTAAGATAATGGTTTATTCCCAATAATGGAAGTTGATGATTTGAGGAAGTTTTCCTTGTTAGATGTATCGAATCTTTTTCTGGTAAAATAAAAATCCCTTTTGATGGTTTGTTTTACATTGGCTTGCAATGATTAAATATATATGAACATGTTAGCTGATAAAACACCGTTGATGTACATGTATCTAAATATCAATCCACTTTTTCAAAGTATCATGAAAAAGTCAAAACTTTTTTAAAACCTATTTAAATTGTAAAACATTAACCATTTTTATCTTATTATTTTTTTTATATTATCGCCATGTTTCCAATACCAAAGAAGACATGCATATAAATTTACATATTCCATTCTTAAATGTCGTATGTTAGGATGCTATTGAATTTGGAAAAAAATCTATATTTCATAATTTTCTAAAACTGTTTTTGGAGTATCATCAAAGTAAGTTTATGTGTAGTTTTTCTTGAAAAAATTATCAACTATGCTTATTACAGAATAAAAATCCATTTGGGGTTTGTACATTGCTTGCAATCCATAATTGTAGAAAATAAGTCTTCATATATCAATCCACTTTCAGAAACTTTTTTAAAACCTATTTGAATTATAAAACATTAGCCATTTTTATCAATCAATTTTCAATCAAATCTATACTGTTGTTTCTCTTTTATGTACTTAATAAGCAGTAGCCAACAGATCTCTTGAAGCATGATAACTGGTGTCCTGCAACTATGTTATCATCCACGGTATCAATTAGTTCAAGGAATTTATTTCACAGAACCGATTTATCTTTAAAAGTTTAAATAAAACAACATGCTTCCCGATTGATTTGGTATGCAAGGCATGTTCGTAGAACGTCCAGGGTTTAAACTGATCCAAGTTCCATTAAATTGATGTTAATAACGGGATTCAAGCTAATTTAAAACCAACATGTCGCAAATTCTTTGGGTTGTTTTACTGGCCTTGCTTGCAATTTCAACCTATCGTTACATATTGAATTCTCTGTGACAAGTTTATATTAATTTTTAGGTCATCTTTTTCTGAAATTCAGTACATTTCACCAATAGATAGGACTCCAGGTGGGTGTAACGGGTCAATAGGGATACTCACTCCTCTATGGCACCTGATCCCACCTCTTGTGTTTCTGGAAGTCCGTGTTTATGCTCTGTTCACATTTCGTTTTCTTAAATGAATTTCTAATATTGATCACTGGTCTTTTTTTTCTTTTGCATTCTGGCTTTAAATTTCATTTTTTTTAATACAGTAAACATTTGTGTATTCCTCTCTCTTAAAAAAAAAAATTACTGTCGTCATTGATGTCCTTAAGAAAAATATTTTCGATTAAAATACAAGGTTTGCCTGTACAGTAATGCACGTACGAGTGCATGGCGTTGATGGAAAGTTAATGTTGTTTCTAGATAGAATACATTCATTGTTATAAAATAATTGATTTATTTTGCCTTTGAATAAATTATTTATTCAAAGTGCGGTAAGGATATTATGCGTTTGTAAGTAAAATACAGTATTTTACACTTTACATTTTGACATTTGATTTCAGTACGTTGATTTAATTGAAAGTGATTCCATTTGTTAATGAAGTTTGCCTAGCTTTCTTCTCTTCAGTTAGGGTTAGAGGTTAATTATGAGGGGTTTTTTCTTGGACAGATTTCAAGTAGATGTATGAGTGCTTTTTATACCCCCGCTTGAAAAGCGGGAGGGTATATATTCTTTTCAGTTAGGGTTAGAGGTTAATTATCCGCAACTCCTCTCATACCACTGAATGAAATTTGATGAAACTTTCACAGAATCTTTATTACATATTGCCATTGTGCACCTTTTTTTTTTGATCCGACACATTTTGTTAATTTTTTTTCACCAGTTATAACCATATGGGAGGCGGGGGGTTCATTCAAAATTATTTCATTTATGTTAATTTTACTCTTAGTTCATTCAAAATTATTTCATGTATATAATTATTAATTAAGCTGTAGTTAAAATGCATTGTTGATCATTTAAAAGGTCCAAAAGAGGAAAAATGGAGGCGAGAATTGTGTATAAGATTCCCTAACAGCACGCTGGAGCATCCGTATAACTGTGCAAAATACTACGTGTGTGATGCCAACACGCCCAGTGGAACAATGGCGCGAATTCACGAATGCGATTTCCCTTCTTTGTATAGTCCTGAATCTGGGCGATGTGAACATTACAGTGTTGTAAAATGTGGACAGAGATTTGAACCAAAGAGTCATTGTAAGATATAATATTTGTATACTTTAGATCACTTTTTATTCGCGGGAACTTTATTTCGCGCAATAACGCGCGACAATGAGCTCGCCAAAATTTTATTCTCGCTCAGAAAAGTATTTCTTATATACGATAATATAGAGGAATAACAATTCAACAATTCCTGAAAATTATGTCTCGCTGATAAAAGAGTCAATGACTCTCTCTCGCGAAAATAACTTGTCGCTAAAAGTTAGTGATCAACAGTTGTATTCTTTAAAAACAACTGATCATCTGAATTACATGTACATGTCGTATACACAAGTTCATTATTGCATATTGTACCATAGCAGCGTTAAATAAATTATAATTCTTTTTCAGGTGAGTATGACAAATATTTGTGTAAGCATGCGCATTGTCCTCCCTGCTTTCTTCGACATCCTAGTTGTTACGGACTTAGGGAAGGGTTGAATCCCTGGCCCGGAAAAGAGGGAACCCCGTATTTCCTTGTCTGCAGAGACGGGAGAGTACGCTTCAGTGGAGCGTGTCCGGATACGTCAAAGTCTCATCAAATATTTGATTCCTTCAGAAATGTTTGTGTAGAAAGGCCATTTCCGGATTACAGTGATTGAATGAAAGATTGTATTCCTTATATATTATTAGATGTGTTTCTAAAATCAATAATATTGTATTCTTATTTAAAATTAATAGGTACCATGTACTACAGCTGTCCCTTTAAACAGCATTATGCTTTTTTGTAGATCGCTGTGTTGTTTATTTGTTTTTACATACTTATTCATGAAATCCTTGAAAATTAAAGCAGTAAAATTTATAATAATCAGTTTTTGTTCTTTTTATGAATTTCTAAATTGCCATTGCATTTTTAAGAGAGAAAAAATCAGTAGTAACTACTCATGGTACTTGTATATTACTGGAAACAGGTCCATAGGCCATGAATGCCACGTCCAACAAATACATTTGTATTTGTAAATAAAGTTTTACGAAATTATGTTAAATAGTTTCTTAAGGAATCACTGCTTAGTTGGTTGGTATATCAGGGCATCAATGATAATTGGAAACATGGGATAATTTAAATAACGGACATAGTTCGTTATGCATAAATATTGTTGCATATGCAAAAATGAATCTACACACTTCCTGCATGTTTGTACTTCATTTCACTCATTTTTTTTCACTTTGTTTAAAAAATGTATATTTATGATCAAATCTGATCTTTTATCAGATGATATATACTTAGTATGTCAACTACCAAGTAACTAATTCTTTGTTATCCAACACTTTCGTTTGACTTTTGTAAATAATTTTTCATACTTTAGATAAGATTAAAATGAAACACAGGCATGATACTTTTATTTATATACATATAATCCCAACAACAAAAAGAATTAAGAATATCTAAAGACAAATATATTTTGTATTCTTTCCATCTTAAATGTTTCTTCCATTTTTAACACTATCACAATTCATTAATAAACACTTCCAAAGATTTTCATTAAGTTATTGTTTTTAGGTAAAACACAAAAAAACATCTCCAAAAATTTTCATTATATTATAGTTTTTAGGTAAAACACAATTAGCCAATGGCTGTAGCCAGGACTTCTGAAGCGTCGGGATCAGTTGATCTGACGGTTAACTGCATGGTGACCCCGTTATTGGACAGAGCCAGTTTGGCCCGAACCAGTGCGTCGTGTCCCCCTCTATATACCCCCGCCAGGTACAGGGTGTGGGAACTCTTCCCCTCAGGAATCTTATCTGATCGCTCACACGGCTGCATACCCATAAACTGTATTATCTGCTTCACAGCATCTGTCACGTTAAAGAGCAATTTATTAATCCCATATTAAGAAGTTTACAAATACCATATATTTCAATATGATATTGAAAGATTCATGTCAATGTTTACATTTCTAAATATTATCCCCTAAAATTCTTTATTTATTAGAAAACTGATCATTTTCTCAAGAACTGGCAAAGATGAGCATGAATATTTTGTAGTTTTTGTCAGTAGTAGTACAGTTCAACTGTTTTTAAAATGATAATTTGTGGCAAGTCATCCAATTAATGATATGATTGTCAGAAATGAATTTAATTTTTGTAAAATCATGAGGTATATCAACTACTAAAATTCACTCCTGCATAGTTTTCAACACCTACTGTTCCTCAGGAAATATGCTAGTATGAAGCATCTCATCAATTTTCAAAAAATCAAAAATTTTTCTCTGAATAATATCAACAAATTTTTCCACGTTTTCAGGATTTCAATGTTATGAACATCTTAACTTCTTACCCTCCAAAGTCTTGACTGTAGACAGAGCGTACGTATCC